GCACTGTCTACACCAACACCTACCTCGTGAATTTGGCCAAGCGTTCACGTGCATTTTATATGAGTCTTCTCTGTCCTTCATGGCTACTTCCATTTCAGATTCCCGTTCTCCTCACTTACCATCTACCACTTTACTTGGACTCCCAACCTTTATCTAAGGAAAGAAAACAATCAGGTTTCAAAAAACATGCACAGCTTATGATTAGCCCTTCTGGTCCCAGCACACACCAATTCTGATCATTAGTCAAGGTGCTCAGGAGACCTAAATTCTGGCCTACGAATTCAGTTAATTTGATTCAGCAAATTCAAACATGTGAATGGATTACTACCTTCAAAGAGTAGGTAGGGCATATAACATATAGGTAGGATGCTATGATGCGTGGCAGCAGATGATCAGAGTCATAGAACTACTAACCTTTATAAGAGTACAGAGGCAGAAGAAATCACTATTGGCTAAATCTTGGATGATGACTTACCAATGAGATTCCCAATCAAGGCACATTCCCAAGTAATGGGAATAGAAAAACACTCCAAGTTCAAGCCAAACATTTTTTCAGCTCTTCTCCCCCAAATTTTAAATTTTTCCACCATTTTAAATGTTCGTTGAGTTGACAAGTGTCAATGGGACACCTATGTGCCAGGTATTGCCAGGCTTGGGGATACCTGTGCACAAAGCAGCATGCTCTTTGCCCTCTTGAACCTTTTGGTCCATAGGGAGCCATGGACAAATACATGAGTAATTACACAACATTGTGAGAAGAGTGTCATGACATCCCTCAGCTCATATTCTGATTTGTTTCCAAGAAGAGGAAAAATGAAGGAGAATATTCATTGGGCATAATCTAGAGTCAAAATTAGAAAAAAAAAAAAAAATCAGTGTGGATTTTACCCAGGGTCTTGGGCCTTGTTAAAGGAGTTTAAAAATGAAGACTAGGTAGAAATGGGATGGAGACCAAAGAAGGGAACAAAGATAAGCAGGTAAGCTCTTGGCATCGATGCAACATTTTACAAAATTTTTCCCAAGAGCCTGCCATTGCACCGAATGTTATGGTGGAACGAACACTCAGCTATAATCCAAGAGTTCTCAGATCCAGTCCCGTGCCACTACTCTCTGATCTTACACCTCCCTATCTCATCTAGGAAATGGGAATAAATAATACCTTCTTTGCATTTCTTAGGGTTTTGGAGGAGTTTGTGAATAGTTTGTGCCTAGTGTATAATGTGACACAGATCAGTGATGTTATTACCTTTATTAGCATTACTTTGTGCTGAGTGGAGCTCTTCCTCACCTGGGCCAGAGGAGGCAGAGGAATGAGGACTGGTGACGTAAACTGGTCCCTTCCAGATAGAGAATCTACAATTAAGCCTTATTGGCAACCTTTTGCCTGACTTCCCCCTTAAAGTCTATACCCAAACTAGGAATATTTACTTTTCAAACAGCAAGTAATGAGAAACAGGATAAAGCAAAACATTTGCTAAGTGTTTTATAAAAGTCCTTCCACAGGGGAGGTTTATGAAACCCTGCTTAAAATTGTATAGCATAGGAATGTGCCATTTGCTTCTTCCACAGTGAACCTCCCCTCTGAGGCTCCTGGCGTGGATGGATTCCACATCTGTTCCCTTGTGGATCCCATCGCAATGGCAAATGTAGGCCATTGAGTAAAGTTGGCAGCATTCTCCAATTGTGTTTTCACCCTAGAATCACGCTGGTTGAGTTGAGGTAGGGTAGGGGAGAGGATAGTGCTTCATGCTTGTTGAAGGCCAGCCATTAACATCAGCCAGGCACTGTCCCAGACACCTTGCAAATGTCATTTAATTCTGTCTTTCCCACTAGACTGTTGGCCCACTGAGAGTAGAGAGCATGTCAGCCTCACTCCCTGCCTGGTTCCCACTGTATAACCAAGGGCCAGCTCAATAAATCTTCATCAAATAAATTGAGTCCTCACATCAGACAACCTTTCTAGGTAGATGTTATTGCCCCATTTTACAGATAAGATAGAGGCCTGCATTGCTTAAGAGCGTCCAAGGCAAGAGAGTGAGGCTGGTTATTGAGTACCGTCTGCTCCCAGAGTTTGCGGCCCCTCCACAGCTTGCCACCAGGAACCTCCTCTCTCAGAGGCTACAGATTATTATTGTTTTAAAATCATTTTCCAAAAAGTTTGCCTTCCACTAGTATTTTAAAATATGCTCTAGGCAATTATTATTAGCCACGTCCTCAGAAGTAATTATTTTATAGACCTAAATTATTTTATAATATAATAGTTATTTTATAGAAGTGACATGAGGTCAAATGTTTTCATTCACCCAAAAAACATGTAGTAAATGCTATTTTACTGCAGAGCCTGGGCTAGGGACCTGAGGTGCAAGAAAAATAACAAATGATTCTTATCCTTGAAGAACCTACAGTCTAATAGGTCTGGTCACACTTCTCTTTCCTTAAAATATATAAATAGAGATATAGATAGATCATTCTCTGGTGGTGTAGCAGGTATGACATTTGGCTTTTAACCATAAGGTTAGCCTGCAAATTAAAATTAAATTAGTGGTTTAAACCCACCAGCTGCTCTATGGGAAGAAGATGAGGCAATCTACTTCTGTAAAGATTTATAGCCTTGGAAACCCAGTAGGGGTAGCCATGAGTTGTAATTGACTCAATAGTAGTGGGTTTTTTTTGTTTTGTTTTGTTTTGTTTGGTATACACACACACACACACACACACACACTTACATTTCATTCATATATATATATATATATGGAGAGTATTTGGGAAGCCCAGATGTGAAAGGAAAGAAAAAAAATTTCAGATAAAGTTTTATAGTTCCTGAGGACAGGGTCTCTCTTCATCGTGCTTGTGTCCATAAAGCCTTTGGAAAGAAGACAAGCTCAATAAATGTTTTTTGAACAGGAGTAAAAGCTACCCTTAATGCCACCAGCTAGAAGTAACCACTGTTTATGTTTTGAAGCTATTCTTTGTCTCCTAAGCATTTAGCTAACTGACTCAGATATCATTCTCCCTGTCCCTTAGTGATGCAGTTCTGCTTACCATGTTTACTGATAATTGCTTTCATTGTTCACCCTATGCTACCCTACCAGTGCCTCTTCACAGTGCCTTCCCCTACCATGACCCAGCATGCCCTCAAACGGACTGGGTCTCTGAAGTCCAGGGCAGCAGTAACTTACCAACTGAACCCCAAGCCTCTGAGACAGGAAGTTGGTTTAAAGGAGATCAGTTCCTTGGATAGCAGGGAACTGTCTCAAGTCAGGCCTCATGTTGAGTCACACAGGAGAAAATACTGATGCCCAGGCCCCACTTCACACAAATAAAAACACTCTCTAGGCATAGAGCCCAGACATTGGTCTTTTTGTATATGTAAAGTTGCCCAGGTCAAGGATCGAAGACCACTGCTTTTAAAGGCAGGCTACGCAGTGGTTTGTGTGGCCTTTTGAGGCTAGCAGAGGGCACTGCAGTGCTCAGAGTCTTTGGATACTTAGCCCCAGAATTTGGCAATTAAGTGTTTTCTCCAACCCCACTGTGTGAAAAATCTGAGTAGTATAAGTGGCCAATAGGTTTGCAAAGCCGAACCAGAAGAAGGAAATAACATCTCTATCTGTGCTAAAGGGCACATAAGGGTCCCTGTATAAGGGAAGAACACACAGTAACCATGTATGTTCAGAATCATGTGGCTAAATACAGAGAGAGGTGTGTGACTGTCCCAACTGGGCTATTTGTAATGTGTGTGAGTTTTCAGGTTTCATTATGAAGGGAAGAACAACTTTGCAAGAGAAACTATTATTGATCGGTTTATTAACTATTATTAATCACTTTAACACTAAGCTTCTTAGCAAGAGGGAGATGGGTTAGAATTGGAGCATCTTTCTTCCTCTTCTGATTTATTTAAATATTTGTTCAATACTTGTTATTTGTCAAGTATTGTGCTAAGAACTGGACATACATCATTTCATCTTGTGATAACTCTGTCCAGTAAGTATTATTAAGCCCTCTTTTACAGTGGCAGAAATTGATGCTAAGAAATTTTAGGTGATTAACCAAAAATCCCAGTAAACAAAAGAAGTGACCCCACCTCTCTGACTCCAAAGCATGTGCTGTTTCACCACAGCAGGGTTTATGGGCCAATCTGCATGATTAGAGCTCATAGAGAAGATGAGGAGATATCAAGGTGATCACCCTCTCACATAGAGCTAACTTTCTAGAATGGCTAGTCCTCTAGTCTGTCTCCCTTCCTGGAAAGATCCAGGATGTCGTGAGGCAGGCAGCACAGTATGTCCCAAGAACTCCAGCAGTGACCCAGACAAGGCACTTAATTGGCCTAAGTCTTCATTTTCTCACCTATTCAACAAAAAGCATTGAAACCATTAGGTGTCCAGACTGCCCTGTGGAGGCCTGGGCTACAAGAGGCCATGCTGGCACTAGGAGGAGCAGAGAGTTCCCCTCCTTCCCCTTCAACCAGAGAGGCTCTGCATTTGGCTGTTTGAAGAAAGAGTTCCCCTGCTTAAGTTAGTTCATTTCAAATGACCCTTCCAGCTTGATAGGCCTCAAGTCCTCTGTTTTTGCAAATTAGTGATGCTGGGAAGGCTCAATGTCATCACATTGCTTGAGTCAAAGAGTGAGTCTGAACAGAGGGAGAATGGGTTTGTGTGCAAGTTAAAGGCAGGATGAGCAAATGAAGGGCTGGAGGGCAGAGAGCCAGGCTGCAGCTAACACAGCTCAAGAGTCAGTAAACCCGTTTGGGGCCACCCAAGGGAGTGTGAACAATCAGATGACAAGGAAAGTCAAGTAGTGTGTTTTGTTGTTAAAGAAGGATTTTGTTACTGTGACAGGGATACCATTACAAACAACTAAGTAGGAGGTTGGGCCTGGAGGCATCATCATCTCGAAATTGTACTTTTTTTTTACCCCATGGGGTAAAAGTCTCTTGTCCCCCTTTAGTATTGGATTTAAGCAATTGTCTGTTTCTGTTTTTGTTTTCTTGTATTTTTCAGATCTTGAATCCAAATTTCATCCAAGAAGGTAAGTTAAAAAGTGTGAGAATGTGGGGATGAGCTAAATAAACGACAGCAAGTGGGCACTGTTAGAGAGCCGATTATGCGGTGGTTGATGCGGCGATGTGCTTATGGACAAGGAAAGATGTTTATAATAAACTATTGGGTGAAAAAGATTACAGCTTGCAATATATATAATGGGATCCAGTTTTTGTGAGAAAAACTTTGTTTATATAAACCTAAAAGGATATATACCAGAATGTTGACAGCAGTTGGCTCTGGGTTGTAACACTGTGAAGTTTTTTGTTTTCTTTTTCTTTTCTCTTTGCTTATCTGTATTTCCTGGTTTTTCTATAAACATTTATTACTTTTAAAATAAAAAGTAAAATGACAGTTCAAAAGAAATCTGCTAAGTGAGATTAGAGCAGTAATTGGGACTCACTGCAGGGATAGGACCCTAATGACAAAACGTTGTTCAAATCATGGTTATACAACATGGGTGGGGAATGAGAGCACTGTTTTATAAAATGGTTGTTTTACTCTTTTTGTTCTGGATGACGTGAATGGATGTCAATTTGACCACAGTGGCCCCAGAATTCCTTGTGCCCTTAGTGGATGTGACCTGCTTACTTGGGGACACGGTGACCCTGCAGTGTAAAGTCTGTGGGCGGCCGAAGCCCACCATTACCTGGAAGGGTCCAGACCAGAGCATCCTCGACACTGACCACAGCTCAGCCACATACACCGTCTCCTCCGGGTAAGCCACTGTGTCGACATCAGCACTCACTGGGCTTAGCACAGCGTCGAGAGGCTAAATCTGGGGGGCAGCTTCCATTCTGGTCACTTAGTCTCTCCAGAAGGAGAGTTGCCCTGCAGTCTAGTCTAGCTCAAATGTTTGCTCTTGATTAGGAGAGAGGCTGAGGTAAAAACCATGAGGGCCCAGCCTACTGTGAGCTTTAGGCATGGCCTCTGCTGCTCGTGGAGGCCCTGAGTGGTACAAACCATTAACGTGCTTGGCTGCTAACCGAAAGATTGGAGGTTAGAGTTTACGCAGAGGCACCTCAAAAGAAAGACCTGGAGATCTGCTTCTGAAAAATCAGCATTGAACCCAGTGGAGCTCAGTTCTACTCGGACACACATGGGGTCTCCGTAAATCAGAATCAACCTCATGTCCACTAGTTTCTGCTGCTTACGTCCCAACCTGCCACTCAGCTGATGAACATCTGGGTCTCAACAGCACACACTTCACACACTGCTCTGCATCATATAGTTGTGCCCGGACAAGCAAAAATGGCTCAGAAAGAGTGCATTCTGGGCCACATTAAACAAAGGAAGAGAAAAAAACTTTTATAACTCAAGACAAGCACAAACCAGACACTTGAAGGCAGCCGCTGCCTAGTAGATGATCTTTTCCTACAGATTCCCAAGGGAATCTCTAAGTTGAAAGATGTGGCGAAGGTGCCAGGCCTGTACACGGAAAGTGGTCCTCAAATTGGACTTCATGGTGCTGTTTGCACCCTTCAGAATCCTGTGAAACAGTGACATGTTTAAACCTTTCATTAACCCAAAAGACTATTTTCTTAGGGAAAAAGAAATGACTTGCTCCCAAATATCCAGAAGAAGATAGAAACTCCAGGTACAAGCATGTTTCTACACAAGGCTGTTTAAGAAAGCTAAACAGCTGATAAAGAAAGTTATCTCCCAGTCATTCTGTGAATGTTTACTGCTATTGATTATGGGTTTTATTATATAGTCCTGCTTGTAGTGGATAAGTAGGAGCAGGCTCAAAGGCTTAAGAAAACTTCATGAAAGATAAATAAGGAATCAAGAACTTTTCCTCTGTTTATTCAATTTTGTGCATGTGAAATGGGAAAAGATCGTCATAATTTGGTATTCACAGGAGAGGCTCTAACCAGCTCGTAAAGTACCAGTGGACCTGTGGAGCTGGGTGTGAGTTGGTGTTGGGGAGGACCATGAAGATCACCAGGATAATTCATGGCCTGTGGGGAGCGCGGGATTAACTGTGACGTGGGTCAGGGTGGATGTAACCCTTTCAGAGCAGCTCTTCCCCCTTGGGATGATCCTGGACCCCGTCCTGCGACAAGCGGGAAAATTGTTGGTTAGGTGGGGAATTCACCCTTTGCTTAATTCGCTTAATGACTTTGAGGCTCCCACATATAGAATTTGAAATACTTGAACATTTTCATTTTTCAATGTTTCCATTTTCTTGTGTCATTCATTATAGATCTGTGAAACTGAAAATATTTTAAGACAAAGTTGCTAACAGTACATGTATATGGTTTTGTAGATTTCAAACTATATTCTAATTCTTGTCTCACTTTATTTCTTATTTACTCAACATTTACAACAAATTTGAGAGATGGGCATGGCAAGAATAATGTTTCTCATCAAAGGAAATGGGTATAGACAGAAGCAAGATGATAATCCAAGGTTGTAGGTAGATAACAGAACTGGGATTAGACCTTGGGCCTAAGGATTCCCAGCTCAGCACACCATGCACCAAATCTATGGCCTTTTACCCATCTATCATCTTTAACCTCAAACACTGCTTTTGAAAATCCTATCTTGTTTCTACCAAGTAAGGTAAATGATGGGAGTTTTTCACAGGGCTTTCTTAAGGAAGCTAGAAGGATTTACTTCTGCACTCTGCTTTCAGTAATATATAGTCAAGGAGTCCAATGCAGGCTCTGTGAGATGGATATAGGGTACAAAAAGAACAAACCCCAACCTGTTCCTGTCAAGCTGATTTTGACTCATGGCGACTCCATGTGTTACAGAGTAGAATTGCTCCATCAGATTTTCTTGGATGTGATATTTATGGAAGCAGATTGCCAGGCATTTCTTCTGTGACACTGGTGGGTGTGTTGGTTCAAACCACCAACCTTTAGGTTAGTAGTTCAGCCCAAACTTTTTGTACCACCCAGGGACCTTAGAGGGCATTAGGGGATGGATATATGGGGTAGATAAGGAGCTCTGGTGGTGTAGTATGGAGCTCTGGCAGCATAGTGCCTAAGGCATTTGACTGCTAACCAGAAGGCTGGTGGTTCAAACCCACCAGCCACTCCTTGGAAAGAAGGTTGGGCAATCTACTTCTGTAGTAATACCACCTCAGAAACCCAAGGAGGGGTCGCTATGAGTTGGATCTGACTTGACGGTAGTGAGTTTGGTTTTTTGGTTTGGTTTTTTTTTTTTTTTTTTGGTTTTTGGTGGTGTAGTGGTTCAGTGCCTAAGGCACTTGACTGCTAACCAGAAGGCTGGTGGTTCAAACCCACCAGCCACTCCTCAGAAGGAAGGAAGGTTGGGCAATCTACATCCGTAGTGATATCACCTCGGTAACCCAAGGAGGAGTCGCTATAAGTCAGGTCCAACTCAACGGCATATAACAGCAACAATGGTTAAAGCATTTGGCTGCTTACTGAAAGGCTGGTAGTTCAAATCCACCAGCTGCTCTGTGGAAGAAAGATGAGGCAGTCTGCTTCTGTAAAGATTTACAGCCTTGGAAACCCAATGAGGGTCGCTCTGAATCAGAGTTGACTCAATGGCAGTAAGTTTATAGGGGGTAGATGTAGAGAGACCACAGGAAGCTCCATGCTGGAGTTTGAAAGGCCTCCTTTTTGTGTCGCTAGTGATTCTGGTGAAATCACCTTGAAGATCTGTAACCTGATGCCCCAGGACAGTGGAATTTACACCTGCATAGCAACAAATGACCATGGAACCACATCAACGTCTGCTACAGTTAAAGTACAAGGTACAGTTTCTTTATTAGCCGAACATTTTAAGTTGGCATGACAAGGACTCTTTGAGACCTAGGGAAGAAAAGATCTATTGTGACAATTTCTGTGAATATTTATTGCTACTGATTATGGGTTTTATTATATAGTTCTGCTTACAGTGGACAAGCAAGAGCAGGTTCAAGGCTTAAGAAAACTTCATGAAAGATGAACAAATAGGAAGAAAGTGAATCCTAGCTACCAGTTGCCCGCACCCTCATGCATAGTCCCCTGACTAAGCTTTATCTCCAAAGTGCAATGATTAGCCCAAGGGAAGACTTCAGACAGCAAAGTGTGTCCACCAGTTACTCCAAGGCCTTCTTCAGGCCTGGAGAAAGGTATCTCTATTGAAAAATATGAGACACAGGTTAAGTAATGTTCCTCAGGTGACCCTCAAACTTAGGTCCTACAGAAGTAACACTTACTCTGTTTCTACAGGTGTTCCAGCCGCCCCTAATCGCCCCATTGCCCAGGAGAGAAGCTGCACCTCAGTGATCCTCCGCTGGCTGCCTCCGTCCAGCACAGGGAACTGCACTATTTCTGGTTACACTGTGGAGTACAGAGAAGAAGGTGTGCTCTCTCCTCCTCGTCTTCTTTTTCTATCTTCTATTCCCCTTAAGAAAATCCTTCGGAGTTATAAAACCATTTTGGTCACTTCTTGCTGCTCTGACAGAAAATGCCATCACAAATGAGATGGCTTTAACAAACAGGAATTTATTCTTAAAGTTTTGGAGGCTAGAAGTCTGAGTTCCAGGTGCCAGGCTCTAAGGGCTGGGTGAAAGGCTCTCGACCTTGGGCTTCAGCTCTGCCTCTTGCTCCCAGCCCACGGAAGCTAGAGGCATCTCTTCACTCAGGCAGCTGCTGGCTGCTGAGGCTGACAAGCCCAACACCGACAAATAAAAAGGCACAGTCCCAGATATTCAGGTATTACCAAACCACACAGCAGGCCATTGATTCAAATCCATTGATGGTCCCAAGATCGCCAGACAGCATGGCAGGCTACTGAACAACAACTTGGCTGCATGCACGAGTTCAGCATGCCAAAAGCTGTGGACCAGTCCCAAAGCTTCTCCTCAGATACTGGAAGCAGACCACGTCCCTAAAGCAGCTACTTAGCTGCTCCTGGCAGATTCCACCATGGAGTTGATTGCCAGTCTCACTGTGAGCAATAGCTACCACCAGCTGCCCCGCCACTCAAAACCAGGCCCAGCCAAGCTGACACATAACCTTAACTATCACCAAAACTATTTCTTTCATTAGCTATTCCTTCATGTGTCGTCCAATGCAGCAGAGAGGCCAAACTACAGCTGTTTTCTGATTTCAAACACAGAGTATCAGTTTAGGCCACCTTATGGCCCGTGGCCAGTTTCAAAGCACTTTCACCTACATTTCCTTCCTTAACCCTCCAATCATTCAGACAGGGGTGAGCAGGCCCATTTCATGGATGAGGAGGCTTTGGTTTCAAGAAAGTTAAGAAACGGGCCTGGGATTGTAGTTAGTAACTGGCAGAACTAGGGCTAGAACCTAATTTGTGATCTTTCTAGTTATTACTTTCCAGAGTAATAACTAGAGGCATATGATGAGAGCTTTATCTCACCTAAATAAAATTTAGAGAGCACAAATATGTACATAATGCCCTTTTTAAAATGGGTAATTTTTAAGTTTGTTACATTTACATGTTAACAGTGCATACATTCTTCAGCAGCTGGAAACAACTGAGGTATTCACTTATCAAGAAAAATTAGTTAAAATAAGAAGCTGCCAACCAAACAATACCAAACTTTCTGCCGTCGAGTTGGATCCAACTCATAGTGACCCCCTCCTTGGGTTTCCGAGGCGGTATCACTACGGAAGTAATGACACATCTCTGAGCCACCTTATTAATTACACTATTGAATTGAAAGTTACTGCTGCCCTTGGAACCAGAAGCATTTGTTTCACTCCACCTTCCATTCTTATAATGTTAGCCCTTTCTTCTTTTCTTTCTGTCAAACAGGTCCTGCAGAGCTGTGAAGCCACTTGCTTCTGTCCCTTTCTCAGACCATTTACTGTGGCTCTCAGCTCAGTGCAAAGGTCTTAACACTAAGCTGAGACACACAGCCCACGAAGTTCATATTTAATTCAGCCTTATTCAGTTCACAGTTCTTTTCAGTGAAACGCTCTTGAGCAGGCTGTTGAATCCTTCTGAGCCTCATTTCCTTCATTGTAAATTTAGTGAAATGAATTCTCCCTACCTCATAGGTGTCTATGGAGTTAAGGAAGAAAAGTAAATGAGAGAATTACATGAGAGGCCCTCCGCAGAATTTTATATGTACATAGTGCTCAGTATGTGTTCAGTTTCATTTGAGGAAATTAATTATTTTGACTTCCCACGTGCATATTTTCACTCATTTTGTTATTCATTTACAATGTACTCTTCTGACTCTGTTAAAAAATTTACCAGATGTTCCTCTGTAAATTCTGTATTATCTATGTCTTAAACTCTCATACTTGCACTTTTGGAAGTGAAAAGAATCTATAGCCAAATCCTCAGAAATCCAGTTTCTGTGCCCTCACAATTTATTCAGTTACTTAGGAAACTGAACCTACACCTGCCAGGTTTTCAGAGGCTGATGTATTGACCACAACTGCCACTTGAATTGAATGTGTCAATTTTCCTTTCTTTGTTTGCTGAAGGTCTTTGAAACAATGTCCCTTAGAATTTTTCTCTTTTTCTCTCCTCGGAAACTGTGCCCTAGGTTCCCAGGTTTGGCAGCAGTCCATAGCTTCGACCTTGGACACTTACCTCGTCATTGAAGACCTCAGTCCTGGATGTCCTTACCAGTTCAGGGTCAGTGCCAGTAACCCCTGGGGGATCAGCCTTCCCAGCGAGCCCTCGGAGTTTGTGCGACTTCCAGAATATGGTGAGCCCCCATCATGCCCAGGAGCCCCAAGTAGTGGATGACAAGGCACTTAACCAATTGTCACAGAGGCACTGGCACAATTAGTGTGACAGGCCACCCAGCAATGGTGGCTTCAAATAATAAATTAGAGGCTTAATGGAGAGTGTTTCCATAAAGTGTGGCTCAAAGTGTTTTGGGGCAAACATTGGGTCTGCTGTCCATCCCTAACCCTGGACCTGCCAAGATTCCCCAGACACCCATATCTGTGTCCCGGATCAGAGAGGGCAGGCAGGAGTCATGAGTGACAGCAATCCAATCTGCCCCTCTATAAGACAGGAACTAAAGCCTCCTCTCACCCAGCCAAGCTTCAGTGTCCCTCCCAGCATTAGAGACAGCGCCCTCATCAACTTGAAATGAGGAAAGGAATGCAACCTGGTGGAAAGATTTCACTGTAACAAAGATTTGATAGAGTCCCTAACCTACCCCCTCCAAAGGCTTTTATTTATTTACAATACACATTTTTCTGTAGATTTATAGAGAAATTAACTAAGATATACTGGTAGTGTAGTGCCTAAGGCATTTGACTGCTAACCAGAAGACTGGCGGTTCAAACCCACCAGCCACTCTCCTCAGAAGGAATATTGGGCAATCTACTTCCGTAGTGATACCGCCTTGGACACACAAAGAGGGGTCGCTATGAGTTAAATCTGACTCGATAGCAGTGAGTTGGTTCTTTTTTTAAAAAAAAAAAAAATACATATAACTAGTTAAACATGCATGATTTATAAACATGGTTCTTATTTTGCCTACCTATTCCTTATCTCCTGGGTGGCACAAAAAGTTAAATGCTCATCTAGTAGCCAAAAGGTTGATGGTTTGAACCAAAAGACAGGCCTGGTCATCTGCTTCTGAAAGGTCACAACCTTGAAAACGCTATGGGCAGTTCTACTCTGCACACACTCAGTCCAGTACATGGGTAGAATCGACGGCAACTAACAACATTCACGATCTCACTGAGACACCTTGGCCCCATTGATACTTTGAAAGAAGAAACTTGTTAGCGTAAGGAATCCACCAACTGGTGAAATTTCAGGCAGTGCAAGGCAGGTGGTCTGTGTGTGTTGTGGGGAGATGAAGGGCCTGATGTCTCAGTCACTATACTCAAGGGGCATGGGCCTTGGGTTAAGGGAATCTCAGCGTTTCCAGAGGGCCTGAGACTACACGCTCCTTAATGGTTTCTACCCCTCCCCTACTGCCAGCCCAGCCTCCGCTCCCATCCGGTGGCTTTGTTCTCAGGGGCTTGTGACTCACTGGGAAACCTTGGCCCTGGGTCTCTATTTCCTCAGAATTCCATATGGAAAAGCTACCCTCAGCCTTAGCCACATTGTGCTGTGGGCAGCCTGAGATGACCCTCTGTGGGAAGCTGAGAATCATAGATCACAAGAGCTGCTAGCTTGGTGCCTCTTCTCACAAGCCCCTTCACTGAACGTTGCCCAGGGATTACCACTGTCATGTTTAGCTACGTGTGGACTGTGTGTGCATGTGTATAAATCACTGCCAGTGAGTTAACATGTCATACAGAGTCACACTGCCAAAGATTTTATTGTTTGTTGTTGGGCACCATCAAGCTGATTCCAACTCCTGACCACCCCATGTGACAAAGTAGCCCTGCCTCATAAGGTTTTCTTGGCCATAATCTTTACAGGAGCCAGAGATTCCATTCAGGAATATATTTTGGGTTAAGTTAAACCATTCAATATACTGAATAAGCTCATTAATGACTGAGAAAAGGAAGATGAGAAAGATAAATTTTCAGAAGGTTTACCCACAATCCTTTTCTTTCCCTCCTTTCTTGGCCTTATAACCCTCCCTGTTCTCTCTGACGCATTCTCCCTACAGCTCTGATTCTCACTGGCTTTTCTGTACCTTCAAAGAGTTTTTTTGTTTTTTTTTTTAATCTCTATTCTTTCTAGCAAATATCTATCTTTAAATATCCAGAAATTACCTTTCTGACTGTCCAGAGTTTTCCCCTTGTCTAAGTAAATCCAGAGGGAGTCTGTCTCTGCAATGTCAGTTTCCCCACGGATGTTATTTTTAAATCTAACATTTCAGAGAATTGTGTCATTTTCCCACTGAGTTTGATTCCTTATTTAGTTATGAAGAGTGCTTTGGGATTATGCTGGAGCTCTTCTGTTAACCTTTTCTTTACTCTTATATGACATCTTCAATATCATAAATGGAATTTCTCTCTCCCAAAGATGCTGCTGCTGATGGTGCCACCATTTCTTGGAAGGAAAATTTTGATTCAGCTTATACTGAGCTGAATGAAATTGGAAGGTAATGACAAAATTTTCTGTTGCTTGGCTCAGAATAATTATTTGATATTTTTGGTTTCTTTTAATAAATGCATTCTCTCTATCATAAGGAGAAAGCTAGAATATTTATGTGTTTTCTATTGCTCTTTTTTCTAACTTCTTAAATTAAATGTTTCACTCCTCCACTGTAAGCCTTTCTTTTTTTCTAATATAATACATTTAAGGTTCTAAACACTCTTAAAAGTGTAGTTTTTTTTAGCCACATCTCCCAAATTTTGATGTGATATTTTTATTATCATTGAGTTCTAAGTATTTTCTAATTTCAACTATGATTTTTTTTCTTTGAGTCATGTGCAATATAAATAAGTTTTAAAGTTTCCAAATATATGAGATATTTAAAAATTATCTTTTTTTACTGATTTCTAACTTAATTGCATTGTGTTCAGAGAAATTGAACTTTATGCTATTAATGCCTTCATTTTTATTAAGACTCCTTTATGAATAAGCCACTCCTCAGAAGGAAGGTTGGGCAATCTACTTCTGGAGTGATACCGCCTCAGAAACCCAAGGAGGGGTCGCTATGAGTTGGATCTGACTCCACGGCAGTGAGTTAGTATATGGTTAATTCTTATAAAAAGTTCTATGAGTTCTTAAGAAGAAGGTATAATCATTAATTGATAGGTTGTTGCTGTTGTGTGCCATGGAGTCAATTCCAATTCATAAGCCCCTATATGACAAAGTAGAAATGTCACGCATGGTTTCCTAGATTGTAATCTTGAAGGTTGGGCAATCCTACTTCCGTAGTGATACTGCCTCGTAAACCCAAGGAGGGGTCGCTATGAGTCGGGGCCGACTCGACGGCACATAACAACAACAACAATCTTTATATATGTCCATGTATTAAACACATTAGGAGTTCTGGTGGCATAGTGTTTAAGGCATTTGCTAACCAGAAGGCTGGCAGTTCAAACCTACCAGCCTCTCCTCGGAAGGAAGGTTGGGCAATCCACTTCCGGAGTGATACCTCTTAGGAAACCCAAGGAGGGCTCACTATGAGTTGAATCAACTTGACAGCAGTGAGTCTGGTTTTTTTATTAAACACATTAATTGTTTAGTGAGTATTTCTATTTTTCTTTTTGCTTTTAATTTTATTGTGTGTGTGTGTGTGTGTGTGTGTGATTTGGGTGCAAATTTACAAAGCAGATTTGTTTTACTCTCAACAGCTCATGCACATTTAAACAAAAGACCACCCACTAACTATGGGCCATTAGCATCATCTCTATCTCTGATTGATATTTCTCAGTGAAGTATAAAATCTCTTAAGTGGGGTGGTTGTGACAGGTTTAGGACAAAACAAGATTGTTTGTTATTTCAGTTTCTTAGGCATGAGTCACTATGTAACTCATTGCCTTTCATTACAGTACCTTTTGTCATCAATAAACCCTAGCTCTACTTTCCTACTCCCTTTGTGTGGCCTGAGAGAAAAAGGACGATGGAAATTTAGGTGATGATGATGATGATGATGATGTTTATTAAGTATCCATATTGTTCCATATACAGATACTATACAAATATAATTTATTCTAATCCTCACAGCACTGTGAAGTAGTGTTCAAATAGATTAAAACAAACTCAGACTCAAGTTTCCAAACTAGTGAGTGCAGCAGAGTCAGTATCCAAACTCTAGGCTCCCTGACTCTAAGCCCACACTTGTTTTACTACTTATGTTGCTTCTTATATAGCAGTTATTATCAAAAACAGGCTCTAGAAAGTTAAATCTAGGTTACTCCATTGTATCTAAATGTTTGAAGCTGGATATGACAACCAGGATGAGCAATCAAAACCCCAGTTGTTTTAAGTGAATCTGGTTCCACCACCTGGACACACCAGTCAATCCAGACATGCATTTGCTGTTGATAGCCATAGGGTATGGCATGTTTTACTAAGGACAGATTAGTGTTTTAATATTTCTCAAATGGGAAATCAATTTTCTAATTTGTTCAAAGCAATCAATGGTTTTCAAAAATCTCATCTCCAACAATCTGAAGCTTTCCTGTCTCCCAAGTATACACCTCATATTTTCAGAAGATTCTGTATATTAATAGAATGGAATTAAAACAAGAGACTTACATGAGATAAGAAAATCATATCTGTGCCCGGGCCATAGACATGAGCCAACTTACCCATCACACCCAAACCTAGAAGTTTGGCCCTAAAGAGCCAAGTAGTTAAAGATTATAAATACCATGGTAGAAAGAGAAACACCTTCATTCCTACAGCCCATAATTGAAAGGGCACCTGAGCATGGCATATTTAACCAGAAATAAACTATATAGACATCATTGTAGTTTGAAGACACCAAAGGGTTATCCCCTGGGAAGGCTGACTGGCTGCCCAGAGACTTCCAGGTAAGGATGCTAGGCTAAACACGGACATCTGTTTTTACTCCTAAGATTTCACTAAAACAATAGTAAAGGCATTTCTTTAAGCAGGTACAAACCCATAAGAATGAGAGGCTGGAAGAAGAGATTTCAATAATAAAATAATAGAGACAGAAAAGCTTTTGAAAGAGTGACAGTGGACGTAGGAGATCTGAGAAAAACTCAATCAAGTCAGTCATGGATTCAAACAAGAATCAACATAACTTTTGCAGCAGAATTCCCCAAAGGCCCAGGCATTGGCAGAATCAAATGCATCCAGAAGTAGGTGTAAAGAAGATGGTAGAATTGGAAGGATGGGCTGAAGGTCAGTTTGAGAAGAAGTTGTGACTCTGACTCCCCTCAACCCAATTTTATGCAGCTGTATACTTATACTCTCATCCAGGAAGTCTAGAGGTTTATTCTCTGGACAGGGTAAAACAGGTTGTCTCTGTTCTGGGGGACTCCAGGTACAGTGGAGGGAGGAGAAACATAATGAAAACAGGGCAGCACATGTTCTCTTATCCACTGGGCCTCTAGAGGCTGACAAACAAAGCATCACTCTCCAAGCAGAAAGTATTAGGATCTTTCTCTGGGGAATCTGAAAAGCCCAAGAAGAAATATCTAAAAAGTTTGAAGTTTTTCCAACTAAGCAGTCAAGTCAGATCACCCTACAAGTAAAGGTCCAGTTGATAAATTTCATTCACACACACAGAGCTTCCAAACTATACCCTTTCCACACTTATTGACATCTTTGTGCTCCAGAGACCAGGTAGTTATGTGAAACTGGCATTATGTGAAAATGGAGGATAAGCACATCAGATCAAAAAGTGGAGGATGACTACATCATTACATAAATGCCAAATTTCATCATTATATAACTACCAAACCACTGAGAATCATGGCCCAGCTAAGTTGACACATAACCTTAACCACCACAGACAGTGTTACTTTCACCTCACAGCTCTGTGTTCATTACTGCCAGACATATATTGTTAATGAACAAAACAGATGGATAGCATATTTTTTACTATTGTCATAAATGTGAAATGTCAGATAACAAGATGGTCGGTAAGTGAAAAGAAGATGTATTTTTTAGTCCCTAACTTTAAAAATGAGTCAACCTCCAATGCTACTTGAAATGGAGTAAATCTATTGTAGCCTTTCTCCCAACCAATTACAGCTAGGATCCCTGGACAAAATACAAAATGCAACTACCTGAAAATTCTGAAAAGTATAAAACTAGCATATTGGGGAAGGAAGTAAAAACTTGAGGAATGACCACTAAAGAGAAGATGAGTTTCCTGTTCTTTCCATTATCTTCTGTCTTTGGGCCAAGGGTTGACCATATCAGGTAACTGAACAGTGAATGCAGGGAGCAAAAACTCCAAAAGAAATCTGTCTTTCTAGTCAAAGAGCTAGGAAAGGGGATCTCTATGAGCTTTTCCAACAGCATAAATGACAACTGTACATATGGACCTCACCAGGCACAGGAATCAAATCTGTGGAAAGAGATGATGGAGAAGCTCAATATCATCAGTCAGAATAGGTCCATGGGCCAAATGAGGAACAGACCATTAGTATGGAGTATATATGAACATAAAGAAAACAAAAATCCTCACAATTAGACCAATAAGCAACATCATGATAAATGGAGAAATATTAATGATGTCTAGAATTTCACTTTACTTGGATTCACAATCGATGTCCATGGAAGCAGCAGTCAAGAAACCAAACGACATTTTGCATTGAGAAAATATGCTGCAAAAGAAGTCTTTAAAATGTTAAAAATCAAAGATGTCACCTTGATCCTAACCCAAGCCATGGTATTTTTAGTCACCCCATATGCATGCAGAAGCTGGACAACAAATAAGGAAGACCAAAAAGGAATTGATGCATTTGAATTATGGTGTTGGTGAAGAATATTGGATATACTGTGGACTGCCAGAAGAATTAACAAATCTGTCTTGGAAGAAGTATAGCCAGAATGCTCCTTAGAAATGAGGAAGGCAAGACTTTATCTCTCATACCTTGAACATGTTATTAGGAGATGACTGATCCTTGGAGAAGGACATCATGCTTGATAAAGTAGAAGGTTAGTAAAAAAAGAGGAAGACCCTCAATGAAATAGATTGATAAAGTGGCTGCAACAGTGGACTCAAGCTAGCAATGATTGTGGATGGTGCAGGACCAGGCAATGTTTCATTCTGTTGTATACAGGATCGCTGTGAGTCAAAACCAATTCAATGGTGCTTAACAACAAATAAGCTGGAAAAAACAGAAGAATACCTATTAGTTTTTAACTAGTTTTTAGTCCTTTAACTCACCATTTTACCCCAAAGGCAGACGTGCAGAACTGCATGATGGTGCAGGATGCTAAAACTCTGAGACAATTACATATATCCAGCCAGAGAATCAGGAAAAGGTACCCATGAAGCCAAAGAATGTAGAGAAAATTTCAATGGAGAACTAAAGAAAGAATCCCCTAATTCAATGTATAAAACAACATAAATCCTGGATCACTCCCAAGTTGCCCATGCATAGAACACATGTAATGAAGCATAGCAAAAGCTTGGAGAACTGAACTATATAATAAAAACCACTG